TCCTGGTTACTATTTACTATAATCTCACCCCCCCCCAATAAATACAAAACACGGATCCTAAACACATCTACATTGATTTTAGAATTACCTTTTACAACAGATTTTATCAAGACTTCAATGATATCAAGTAACAGAAATGCTACTTAAACTTGGGCAAAAGAGGGAATCTATTAGAAGCCTCATATAATCATAGGGGCATATGGGCATCAAAGACAAGTAAGACTAGGAACTTGAACACGAATCTTGTAACTGTGCATGTATATAGGGTAATAAGGTCTGTCTCATTCCACCATCTTTCCTACCTTCATATCTTCTCCCCTCCCCTCACTCCCCTCTTCCCAATCCAAAGGTCCTCCATTCTTCCCTCCCCCCCTCCATTATGGAACAGCATCCACTTATAAGAAAAAACATTTAGCCTTTGGCATTCTTTTAGACAGGTTTTCTCCCTCTGACCATAAAAAGGGCCATCAGCTGTGGGCTGGCATTATAGCTCAGTGGTAGAGCACCCACCTCGCATGTGTGAGGCACTGGGTTCTGAGCCCAGCACCACATATAAATTAATTAAATAAATAAAGGTCCATTGACAACTAAAAAAAAAGTAATTAAAAAAAGGGCCATCAGCAGTTTCTGGCCATACATTTTCCAGTCATGTCACAATTTTTTCCTCAATTAAGTCAAAAAAAGTAATTAAAGTGAAGTATTCTGATTGTCCTGGCCTGGATCACATGGCCATACCTCAATCAATCAAATTGTTTGCCAGAGAGACAGAGTACTGATTGGAAGATCTCACTAGAACTGCATGGCTAGATAGGAAAGGGGAAGTACACCAAAAAACAAAATAATACAAATAAACAGGCTTTTGCTTCTAGGTGAAGCCAAAGGCCCTAGGAAAACAAACATGAAGTTCTAATAGGTTTCCTGTATTCTCCACTTAAATTGGGGATGATAGCATCCTGCATGCAATCCTCTATGCAAATGTCAGAATCCTGGAATCTCCCTTATAGCAAAGACTGCTAGCTTTCACCTAATATCTGTTCTCTCCTTACTCCTGCAACATAGCATTTTGCTGCTTGGAACACGAATGTGCTCATTGGAGTTGTATCTTATACCCTGAAGTTTGGACATTAAACCCTTTGAAAGAGAAATGAATTTCTATCCAGTTTAGCCAGTGGCTATTTTGTTATTGTTGTTGTTGTTAAATGCATTATACTATACTCTTTCTTTTATTTTATTTTGCATTGAGATATTTATTTCCATATTTTTATTGGTACATTACAATTATACATAACCCATCGTTATTTTGGCTATCTGATAATGTATAGCTCAACCTAATTCGAACTAACAACCCCCACACTTCCCACATCCAATCATGGCACAACAATGACCAATGACGTTAAGAGTGAGGGTTAAGGGCTGGGGTTGTAGCTCAGTGGTAGAGCACTTGCCTAGCACGTGGGAAGCCCTAGGTTCGATCCTCAGCACCACATAAAATAAATAAAGATATTGTGTCCATCTATAACTAAAAAAAATTGTTTTTAAAAAAACAGTATGGGGGCTGGGGATGTGGCTCAAGTGGTAGCGCGCTCGCCTGGCAGGCGTGCGACCTGGGTTCGATCCTCAGCACCACATACCAACAAAGATGTTGTGTCCGCCGAGAACTAAAAAATAAATATTAAAAAAATTCTCTCTCTCTCTCTCTCTCTCTCTCWTTCTCTCTTTAAAAAAAAAAAAAAAACCAGTATGGGTTAAGAGTCAAGCCACTTAGCTGGATGCAGCAGCACATGCCTGTAATCCCAGTGGTTCGAGAGGCTGAGGCAAGAGAATTGCAAGTTCAAAGCCAGCCTCAGCAAAAGTGAGGAGCTAAGCAATTCAGTGAGTCCCTGCCTCTAAATAAAATACAAAATAGGGCTGGAAATGTGGCTCAGTGATTGAGTGCCCCTGAGTTCAATCCCCAGTACCAAAAAAGTAAAAAGTCAAGCCACTTGAGTTTGAATTTATGCTCTGCCACTTACTATCTCTGTTCACCAAATTTCTTTATTTCTATGTTCCTGTTTCATTGTGCATAAAATGACGTTAATGATACTTATCTATCTCACAGGTTGGTTTTAAGGATTTAGCAAGATAATCGATGTATGTACTTAGAATACTACCTAGAACATGGCTCAGTGAGCATTGGCTATTTTTTGGGGTTGGGGAGGCTGCAAATTTTATCTACTAAAGATCTTGGGAAACTCTCCCTTCTTCCACAACCCATTCCTACTTTGCCTTAATGAGGCCTTCTTCTACATGCTGCCTCAACCTGACTTTTCTAAAATACCTCGATCTAACGAGGTCACTCCTACTTGAATCTCCTCAGTGACTCCCATTTACCTGCAAAAGGAAGCCTTAACCCCTTCACCTGGTGGCCAAGGCCCTTTTGGATAAAGGCTTAACTGACCTTTCTGGGCTAACCTCCTGCCACTCTTCTACAATGCCCCACACCCCAGCCATACTCAACTATTCTCTGCCATCACCTCCCTAACTGCCTCTCAAGTGTTAACTACTCCCATTGCCCACCTCCTGAACTCCTTTGGCTGCCGTGGTACCATACTTTCTTGGTCTTCTTCCAATTCCCCTTGCTATTCCTTTTCTTTCTCATTCTTCAATTTCCCTGTAAGGTTCCACAGAGTTCCATCCTAAACCCACTTCCTGTTATGCTGCATGTCCAGTCCCTGAGTGATGGCATCCATTTTTAAGCTCTATCTATATGCTCATGACTCCTAGTTCTTTATTCCTGACCTCTCTCATGAGTTTTGGTTTAAAATAACCTTTTTTTTGGGCTGGGGATGTGGCTCAAGCGGTAGTGTGCTCGCCTGGCATGCGTGCGGCCCGAGTTCGATCCTCAGCACCACATACAAACAAAGATGTTGTGTCCGCCGAAAACTAAAAAATAAATATTAAAATTCTCTCTCTCTCTCTCAAAAAAAATTTTTAAAAAATAATAACCTTTTTTTATATTTTTATTTTGAGACAGGGTCTCACTGAGTTGCTTAGGGACTCACTAAGTTGCGGAGGTTGGCTTTGAACTTGGGATCCTCCTACCTCAGCCTCCTAAACCGCTAGAATTACAGGTATACACCACCACACCCAGATGGTTGCAAACATCTCTATAGATGACATCTCCTGAACAGTTACCTTAACCTCAGCCTGTCCCAAACTGAACTTATCTTCCACATCTTAAACCTGCTTTTCCTCTTCATTCTGAATTTGTTGGTGACACCACCATCACCCAAGCCTGAAACTCTTCATTCTCTGCATGTAAGAAATTACCCAATCCTGACCATTTACATACTCAGTAACTCTCCAATCCATCTTCTCTCCATACTCACCCTCATCCTTTCTAACCCGGACTCTGCAATAGTCTATCTCCAGTCGTTATGCTTTGAAATCAACTGACAACCTTTTATCTACCACTAGTGAAAACCTTACATTGTTTCTGCCCTGCTAGAAACTGTTTTTTTGTTTTTGTTTTTATTTTTTTGTTTGTTTGTTTGTTCTTTTAGTATTGGGGATTGAACTTAGAGGCACTGAACCACTGAGCCACATCCCCAGCCCTATTTTGTATTTTACTTAGAGATAGAGTCTCACTGAATGGCTGAGTACCTTGCTATTGCTGAGGCTGGCTTTGAACTCATGATCCTCCTTCCTCAGCCTCCCAAGCCACTGAGATAACAGGTGTGTGCCACTGTGCCTGGCTGGAAACTCTTTGGATTCCCAGTTAGACGAAATTACTCCATCCCCTGTTATATGCCAAGATCTATGCTAAGTATAAAAACTGCAATGTTGAACATGAAATCATCCCTACCTCTTAGTGGACTTACCACCTGGAATGATAGATACATAAACGCATACTAATCATAAGTGATAAGTTCTGTGATAAATATACTCACAGAACATTAATAGGAGCACACAACTGAGTTCCTTAGGGACTATATCTTCCTAATCTTTGTGACCCCCAACATGTAGTACTAGGTTTAATTCAGAAGAGAATTTTATCTGAATTCTGAATAGATACTCTTCAGTCTCCTTCTATATAGAAGACTCATAACTCATCTATTAAATAAATGCAATTTATAAACCTGTCTGAATCCTGATTTGAATAAAATACATGCAATTTTAAAAGATGAGAAACCAGGTAAATTTAACAGGGCTAGATATTTGAGGATGTTAAGGAATTACTGTAGGGTTTTTTAGTGTTATAATGTTATTGCCATTGTGTTAAAGAGTGTTTATCTTTTAGAGCTATTGAGTTTTGGGAGGTTTTTTGTTTGTTGTGTACTGGGGATTGAACCCAGAGATGCTTCATCACTGAGCTATATCTCTAGCCCTTTTTATTTTTTTATTTGAGACAGGGTCTCACCAAGTTTCTTAGGACCTCACTAAGTTACTGAGGCTGGCTTCAAACTTGTGACCCTCCTGCCTCAGGCTGTGCTGCTGGGATTACTGGTGTGTGCCACTGTGCCCAGCAAAAAAGTACTTCAAAATGAAATAATATGATGAGATTGTCTGGGAGCTGTCTGAAAATAATATGTGTTGTCAGATGATGGTATAACTGAAAGAGGACTGATAATACCTGTTATTAATTGCTGAAGCAGGCTGAGGTATAAAATGAAAGATAAAATTAATCTCTCAGGGTTTCATGGCAATTAAATAATTATATAAAATGTCTGACTATAGTGCCTGATGTCTCAAAAAATAACAGTTTTATCTGGGTACAATGGCACATACCTGAAACCCCAACCACTCAGGAGGCCAAGGCAGGAAGATTTCAAGTTCAAGGCCAGCCTCAGTAATTTAGCAAGACCCTGTCTCAAAATAAAATAATAAAAAGGGTTGGGGAATGTAACTCAGTGATAGAGAGCGCTCCGGGTATAATCATTAGTACACACGCGCGCACACGCGCACACACACACACACACATGCACGCACGTGTGTGTTTACAAGTTTGCTTCTCTCCTCACCTCTTTAAATCCATCCACATAAGGGCATTACATGGTAGACAGCAGATCAGTGGAGTAGGAATTAGAATTCCAGCATCTGAAGGACTGGAAAAATACTCGGCATCATTTCTCTTCTTTGGCTGGTAATGACTGACCAACTAGAACACCAGATGTCTCCCAGAGCAGCCTTGGGCAGGAATTGAAGTGTTTCAAAACTAGAAAAACAAAAGAAAAGAAATCACAGCTTTTACTTTTGTGGACAGGACACAAAAACTCATTTAGAAGCAAATATGGGCTCTTAGCTGGAATAGGGCTGCCCATTTCCTCTGCTGCTCAAATCTCTCTGCAATATCGCCATCTGGTGGCTATCTAGCATCACTTTATTTCGTTCCCAGATGCAGAGCCCTCTGATGGCTTTGAATACACTTAGAAAGTTCTGGAACTGGGGCTGGGGATGTGGCTCAAGTGATAGCGCACTCGCCTGGCATGCATGAGGCACTGGAATCTATTCTCAGCACCATATAAAAATAAAAATAAAGATATTGTGTTCACCTAAAACTAAAAAAATAAAATATTAAAAAAAGAGAAAATTCTGAAAGGAAACAGCTTCACTCAGTGAAATGTTCTATGAACTGTTCAAAGTTAATCATAATGTCCCTCATATCCTACAAAGTCCCTTATGCTCAAACTCCATTATAGCCCCTCTCTGTTAGAATTGTTTACCTGTGAGCATTCATTCATTTACTCACACAACAAATTTATTCTCTAAATGCCACACTTAGGATAGACACTGTGGCACAGGAGACACAATGGTAAACAAAATGAATTGAGGGCAGAAACAAAAAATCAAGCATGCAAACAGAATTAAAACATCCCCTTTTCCACCCACTATAAAATAGTTTTTAAATTTATTGATACTGGGGATTAAGCCCAAGGCCCCATGCATGCTATGCATCGCACAATACCACTGAGCTACACCTTCAGCTCTAATTATTGCAATAGATAAAATTTGGATGCCACTCCTCACCCAAATTGGGAACACATTCCTCATGCTAAGAGGGGAGGTTGGAGGGACTATGACCACTACCCCCCAAACTGACAAGCCCAAAGATGGGAAGATTATCCATTCAGGCCTACCTGCATCTATATATGTATAATTCCAGTCCTTTTGTCACTCATTCCCTTGCCTCCTCTCCTTTAAAAATTCTGCTAATTGTCAGGGATTTTAGAGATGGAATGAAGTTTCTTCCATTTTTCTTCAAAGATAGATTTGAATATAAAACCTATTTGCCTATATATTTTGGAGGGGGAATACTGGAGGTTAAACTCAGGGTGTTCTACCACTGAGCTACATCCACAGTTCATCCCTCTTTGTCTTTTACTTTGAGACAGTATATCACTAAGTTGCCCAAACTGGCCTTGAACTTGTGATCCTCCTGCCTCAACCTTGTCACTGGAATAACAGTCATGTACCATTGCATCTGGCTAAATTATATATATTTTGTTTTGTCTGATTAGGGCTTTTAATTTTCTCTAAAATATTTCTGTCTTTGGCAAACAAATTCCCCGTTCAAGTTTGCTAATCTCATTCTTTAAGATGCAAATTTCTTCCTTGTTTCAACTTTGGAAATGCAAATTTCTGGCTTATAAAACTAGCATGGAATGTCTGGCTTATAAAACTAGCAAAGGTTAATTCTAGGTTTTAATATTTTCTTGTATACACCTATGTTTATATGCTTATATATAGTCTGCTTACATGGTACTAAATTGACTTATAAAAAATTAGTCCAAGTGCCTTTTGATTCACATGACTTTAAATCTATAATAAATTATTTAAATTTGTTCATAATAAAAATGTCTTTAAAATCTAGTAACTAATTTTTCTGGCCTGCTAACCAATTAATATATTGGTCTCTAGATACTGAGATATAATGTCCATTGTTTTCTTTATATAGCAACCTTTGAGGATATTTTTGGCAAAGAATAATTTAAACGTTAACTATGCTTGATTTCTGTAAGTAAAGCTAACTATTAAAATGAATAAATTAAGCTGAGAGTGGCAGCACACACCTGTAATCCCAGTGGCTGGGGAGGCTAAGGCAGAAGGATTCAAAGCTGACCTCAGCAACTTAGCAAGGCCCCATGCAACTCAGGGAGACCCTATCTCTAAATAAATATAAAAGGGATGAGATGTGGCTCAGTGGTTAAGCACACTGGGCTCATCCCCAGTACCAATAAATAAATAAATTTAAATTTTCTAAAATGTGACATTTCAAATTATTTTGTTTTTACAGGGAAACCTCAATCCAGAGATGAAAACTCTTAGGCTTTTCATACCTGAAAAATATTCCATCTACTTTTTTTATTTAAAAAATTTTTAGTTGTTGATGAACCTTTATTTTACTTATATGAGGTGCTGAGAATTAAACCCAGTGCCTCACACATGCTAGGCAAGTACTCTACCACTGAGCCACAACCCCAGCTCTCCATTTTTTTAATTAGTGTATGATGTTTATATCTATATATGATATTCAAGGTTTGTTTAAAATATTAATTGTTCAATAGATTTAAAAATACATAAGTGACCTGCCAGACATGGTGGTACACTCCTATAATCCCAGTGACTAGGGAGTCTGAGGCAGGAGGATCTCAAATTCAAGGCCAGCCTCAGCAACTTAACAAGACCCTAAGCAACTAAGTGAGACCCTGTATCAAAATAAAAAGTTAAAAGGGATGGCAAATGTAGCTTAGTGGTTAAGTGTCTCTAGGTTTAATCCTCAATACAGAAAGAAATTAAAAATTCATGAGTGAGTCTGTACTTTCCTTGCTTCAAACCAGAGATAAGTCAAAGAAAATAACAGATGATTTAAAATGCTAATAAGCTATGTACAGTTTCTATTTCTGATTTCTGAAATATCATTTTATAATGAGCTAAAATTAGGGAGATTTTGTTTTAATTTCATAACTCCTAATAGTACTTTCAGAAATTAACTGTTAGTCTGTCCACACCTTCATTCAGTAATCTAAACTTGTTAAAAAACTTGTGTGTCTGTTTTAAATTTATTTTCACAACTACCTTGTTAAAAAAATACATGATATACAGGATATGATATTGAAACTGGGTTCTCCACCTCTGCTTCTGTAGTTGCTGGTGAAGTTACAGCCCTCCCAGCAGCAGCAGCTCCTCACAACTGGGCATGCCCTCCAGCATTAGCAGCTGGTCTCAGTCACCAGGACTGGATTCTTTGGAAGCGAGTGGGACCTGTGTTGTATATCTCCATAGCAGGCAAATGCCCACTTAGTGCTGCAGCAGACCTTATCCACCCACTAGTGACTTCTTTCCAGGTTCTTGTCCTGAGAATTTGAAGAATGAAACCCAGGGATAACAGAGAGTGAGAGTGAAAGAGTTGCGTTTGTTCAAGTATGAAGAAAAGAAACAGAGCTCTTGCTGGGCAAGAAGGGACTAGAAAGCAGGTTGCCACTTAAGTGTACTAGTCCAGGGGTTATTAGAAAAATGCCAAGGCTACTGGTCAGCAGCTATACTTATCAGGTATTAGAAAGGTGCCATGCCTATTGGTTCAGCTTATGACCCTTTAATTAGTTGTGCCCTTTTAGGCCTTGAGTCTGTAACCTTCTGGTCCATCCCACTTGTCTTTTTACACTACTCTGAGACAAATGGGTCAACTGGAATGCTTGCAATGTTTCTATAGGTTAATTTCATGGATTAGCCTACACGTTTAGAGAAGCTGCTATGGGGCCCAATGCCCTGCCTGCCTGCCTCTCTTTTACTATGTACTTTATCTATTCAATGTTGCTTATAAAACAACTCCAGTAATTTTCCTTTATGGTTTCATGTTTTCTGCACAAACTGGCTGGGTTTTTTTTTATCATTTTTTTGGTTGTAGTTGGACACACACCTTTATTTTATTTATTTATTTTTATGAGTTGCTGAGGATCCAACCCAGCACCTCACATGTGCTAGGTGAGCGCTCTACCACTGAGCCACAACCACAGCTCCTGCCTAGGTTTTATTGTTCTGTAATCAGCAAGGTGCTTCACTGTGTCCTTAAAAAATGCTAAATGGGGGGACTGTAGTAGTGGCTTAGTGGTAGAGTGCTTGCCTGGCATGTGTGAGGCCATGGGTTCAATCCTCAGCACCATATAAAAATAAATAAATAAAATAAAGATATTGTGCCTGTCTACAACTAAAAAATGTTTTTTTTTTTAAAAAAAAACAGTTTGTCTTATCAAGAGAATTTGGAAGCTGGGCACAGTGATGCACACCTGTAATCTCAGTGGCTCAAGAGGCAGGAGGACTGCAAGTTCAAAGCCAGCCTCAGCAACTCAGTGAGGCCCTAAGTAACTCATCAAGACCCTGTCTCTAAATAAAATATAAAAAGGGCTGGGGATGTGGCTTAGTAAGGGCCCCTGGGTTCAATCTCCATTACCAAAAAAAAAAAAAAAAAAAAAGAAAGAAAAGAAAAGAAAAGAAAAAAACAGAGAGAGAATTTGTTTTCTACTGAGTAAGTCCTACAAGAGTTAAGATTTACTCAAATCTTCATTTGTTCTAAAATTGCTTTTAGTCTGTAACTCTAAAGCTTTAAAATATGACAATTAAATATAATGCTGTTGTTATCAAGAATACAAGCAACAATAAATGTTGGTGAGGATATAGGAGGAAAGGCACACATTGCTGGTGGGACTGCAAATTGGTGCAACCAATCTGAAAGTAGTATGGAGATTCCTAGAAAACTTGGAATGGAACCACCATTTTACTGAGCTATCCCACTCCTAGGTTTGTACCCAAAGGACTTAAAATCAGCATACTACAGTGACATCAATATTTATAGCAGCACAATTCACAATAGCTAAACTGTGGAACCAACCTAGATGCCCTTCAATAGATGAATGGATAAAGAAACTGTGGTACATATACATAATGGAATATTGCTTAGCATTAAAAGAGAATAAAATTATGGCATTTGCAGGTAAATGGATGAAGTTGGAGAATATCATGCTAAGCGAAATAAACCAATCCCCCAAAACCAGGGGCCAAATGCTTTTTTGGATAAGTGGATGCTAATCCTTAATGGGGAAGGGCATGGGATGAGTTCAGGAACTTTGGATGGGGCAAAAAGGGGAGGGGGGAGGAGACAAGGGGTTAGGAAAGATGGTGGAATTGAGATGGACATCATTTCCCAAGGTACATGTATGA